ACCATAACAGCATAGCATTTTTTTGGTAATTCGAATATAAATTTTGAACAAAAGATACAGAAATAATCCACTAATATTAATTATGCTAACAATTTTTTGGGTCATCTTCTTCTAAGGCATGAACAGTTTGTTCCCACACTTACATCTCCATGCCTCGGGATAATACTCAAGTGGCATACTCATCCCGGGCTGAACCGGTACGTGAACCGGGCTGCACGGCCCGCATTTCCCGCACTTGGATCTGCAAACCGGTGGAGATGAACCGGGCCCACCCAGTCGCCGTCTGGCCGTATTTAGCCGCTCCACCTCCACTTCCTCTCTTATTTTCCTTACTCCAAAACCTAATTAAATCACATCCAAATAAAATATTAATTTTTTTATGGCCAATAAAGAAAAGGAGAATTGGAATTGCGTGTGAAGCACACAGATGATAAGAGTATGGGATGTACAGTGTACGACCTTTTAGATAACACATGTCAGTTTCCTTTCTTTTTTTATTTTTCTTTTTCTTTTTCTTCTTGAGATAAAACATTTCAACATTCATTTTAGTTAAAAATAACAAAATAGAAGAGAGATTTTTCCGAGAGTGCGAAAATTTTTTGGGCTTAATTACATTTTACAATGTCCAATAGTGTTAATACATTTTGCGTGTACACAATAATGTTATTTCGTATTAACAAAATGAGTGAATCGGCAAAAAGATAAGCATAAATTAAAACCTCTTCATACTTTCTGTACCTTCTTGTAATTTACAAATCGGAAAAAAAAGGCCTTGATTTTCTGATAATTAAGAAAAAGACACACAAATATAATTTATCATATACTTACTCAAGTGGCGAGATGGGGTGAAACCCAGAACTGGGATTGATGCAAGAAGAAGAAACGCCAGCGTGGCAAAAGATAACGTCACTCGACGGCGGCTACGCCCGCCCATCGCCGTCGCTTGCGGTGGCTGCACGTACAAGTCAGTGTTGGTCTTTTTTTTTTTTTCTTTTAGTTTTGGTTATACGAATTGTCTAAACAGTAAGTATGGGTTGTAAAGTGTGAATTGAAAAGGTGGAGAAGGAGAGGAGTTATTGGGGGGAAATAGTTGGAAATAATAAAAATGAAATGTAAAAGTGTAGTAGATAGATAGAGTGAAATTGTTATTATTGTTGTTGGTGAATGGTGATAGTGTTTGCGTGCAAGCGTGTGATTGAGTCCAAGTCAAACAGACATCTTATCTTACTCACTCGTTAAAAATTGAAAAGATGTGTTGTGTGTGTATGAGAGAGAAAATGGTCTGTAAGATACAGTATATGTGTCTATTCTACGTAGATGGAATTGAAATTGCATTCCAATTCGGATTGAACCGAAGCTAAACCCATCAAGATTCAAGCTGACTTGATAGGTACCGGGTTAATTTATGCATTGTGTCAATCAATTTGGATTCGCACTAAGTTTTCTTGCATATAAATTATTTTTTACAATTTTTTTTTTTTTTCCAAACGATAGATCAAAAACACAAATACAGACTAGAACCAGCAAATCCGCTGAGAACCTATCTAACAATAACAAGCAAAACACAACACACAAAAACAAACAACAAACTCCCACCAGAGGAGAAAGAAACTCCCACAAGGGGAGAAGCACCCAACCAGGAGAACCGAAAAAGAAAACACTAACGTACAACAAACAACAGAACACCCAACAAAAGAACACACAACAGAAGCTAAAACTAAGGAAAACTACGTCCTCCCCACTGGACAACCGCCCTAGTGCCAACACGACCAAGCAAAAATCGAAACGCGGCCCGCTGGGAAGAAGCCGAAAGAGCTATAGCCCAAACCGGACCAAAGATCTGAGGCCTCCTCCAGGATTCGCAGCCTCGCCCAAGTCGATCCACCACCACAGTCCCCCATGCAAACTCCGGGGTCGGCACTCAAACCGCCACCGCCGCCGGAAGTCCCGACCATCCCAACTCCAGGGGAGGCCGAATAAGGAGAAGAACAAGGTTGGACTGCCACCACAGACCTCCGCGGACGCCCGCAGCGACCGCCGGCTATCACGCCTGACGCCCTCCGCCTTGAGATCACTCACCATGGTGCTCGAAAACAAGAGTCGAACCGCTGAGAAGGGAGAAGCGAGCAACCGACATGCCCGTGCCGACAGACCTGGTGCGAGTCTGATGCTCGCTGAAAGCGCAAGAACTGTGACAGCCGGAAAGGAGGCTCACCCAAAGAAGACGAGAGGCTAGGGCTAGGCGACTTCAAATTTGGGGATTTTTCCAATTTTTAGAGAGAGAGAGTTTATAAAAATAGAAGTAAATAAAGTAAATGTTTATCATGAGAAATAGAAGAACAAAGATATGTTCGGTCATCCAACCGTGATGCCGAGAGCAGAGTAGTCGCCATGTATATATATCTATGATTAGGGTTTTGAATACAACTAAGAGACTAAGGTTAAATATGTAAATACATAAAATGTACATTAACACCTATCCCTTAAGTTGGAGCAAGCGGATTCCGAATGCGCAACTTGCCAAGAAAAAAATCATACTCGCGCTTCTCAAAGGCTTTGGTAAAAATATCTGCCAATTGACCGCCAGTAGGAACATGACAGATAGAGATGAGACCCTGGTGAAGTGCATCTCGAACAAAGTGGCAATCCACCTCAATGTGTTTGGTGCTCTAATGAAAAATAGGATTCGTGGCGATATGTAGAGCATACTGACTATCACAGAAAAGCTGCATTGGTTGGGAAAGCGACATACCAAGACTAGACAATAAACCCCATAACCACTTTAGCTCACAGAGAGTGGTTGCCATACTGACTATCATGTTGTTTCTTGGTAGGCAAAAAAATATGAGACTGACCCAACTGATAAACCACCCAGTAAGAGAGCGACGAGTGAGAAGGCAGGTTGCCCAATCTGAGTCACACCAACCATAGAACTGAGATCACAATCAGAACGAACCCTTCAAGTAATGAACCACACGAAGGGCAACGTCCCAATGAGTCATGCGTGGCTGATGCATAAACTGAGCTAGCATATGAACAGAGTATGACAACTCTTGCCTAGTAACAACCAAATAAATCAGACGGTCTACTAATTGGAGATACTTCTCAGGATCCTCCAATAGTGAATCATTAGCAAGAGGCAGCCGATGATTCTGCTCGAGAGGAATATCAGCTGGCTTCCCTCCTAACAAGCCAACTTCTGAAATAATATCAAGGGCATATTTTTGCTGACAAAGAAAAATACCACAAGAATTCCAGGCAACCTCATTGCTCAATAAACACTTCAGAAAGCTCAAATCCTTCATGTGAAAGCATCAACTCAAATAACTTTTAAAAGTGGCGATAGACTTAGAGTCACTCCCAAAGGATAGTCAAATCATCCACATACACCAAAACATTTAATTAAACCACGATGAAGAGTAAACAAATAATAATCATGGTAGGATTGAGAAAAACCATACTGTGTTGAGGTAGTAATAAGCTTACCGAACCAACACCGAGGAGCTTACTTCAACCCATAAAGAGAACGACACACCTGATCAGCCACATCAGCCTGGAAGCCAGGGGGAGGCTTTAAGTATACCTTCTCAACTAAGTCACCGTGAAGAAGAGCATTGTGGACATCCATCTGATGCACTTTTCAATTTTTGATAGCGGCGACAGCCACAAACAACCGCATTGTGGTCACCTCGACGCGCGCGACTATGCGTCTATTGTTAGTGTTATATACTGAAAGCTTGGCTTTGCATGTTATTACACATTTGCCCTTTATGAATGAGAATCGTGTTAGATTAAACAAGTTCTACGTTCTGTTGTTCTGCACTTAGATAGGGTGGGTCGTCATCGGGCGAACCGAAGATCACTCTATCAGTCACTTGCGAACAAGAATAGTTGTTCACAACCTAGATGGACATGAACACGCCATCCGAACGGTTGTAGTGTCAAGTGTGCAGTTGTCTTGACTGATTAGTTGCACTAGTAATTTATGTATTGAACAGGATCCAGAGAGGAGAAGTTCATTTTATACTGATCGTCGTAAATGAACTAGACCTCGGTTAATTACTGCGTTCTCTTAACCCGTAAGATATTAAATCTATATATATATAATAAGAATTACTATTTACTACATTTAGAAAGTAATTCCCACCAAAAAAATTAATTGTATACTATAAATAGAAATAAAAGATGGAGTATTAAATGCAATATTCAATTTGTTAGGTCAACTGCATGAATCTCGCCAGCGTACTAACCATGTTTTCAAAAATAGTTTGTACAGAATTTTGTGATGCTTATCATTAACATAAATATAATTGAATAAATAGTTCGGCCATAGATTTTCAGACTAGCTAAATTTGAACTTAATTGAATAAAAGTAGTTTGACCATAGATTTTCAAACTATTTTGTACGTCATTTTTAATGAAAAATATTTTGTACGTTATTTTTAATGATAATTCGGGTATCTAAATATTTATTATGCATAAATTACTAAACATAAAAAAAAAAAAAACTAATTTCCAATATATTTTGTACTCACGTGACGTGTTTTTGTATCATAATTCTGGTATCTAAATATTTATTATGCTTGCTCGACGTGTACTTGCAAACGGTAAGAAAACTAATTTTCAAAATATGTTGCACTCACATCATTTTGGGAAATATTTGTACTTGCACCAACATTTTGTGCTAACGGTAAAAAAACTAATTGCGTGTATCCAAATACATGTTTTATGTTATTTTATACAAGATAATTTTATATTATTTACAATAAATATGCTCGGTTGTTGGCTCCTTAGTACTACTTGTAAATTATATCACGTGTTAACCCACATTATTATTTAATATTATTTATTTACATCTTTAATTTATAACTAACATTTAATATTGTTTACCCGTGCATCGCATGGGCTACGCACTAGTAGGCAGATATATATAATATATATTACTTTGATTCACATGGGTGAGGTTCAGTTTGCTGGATTAATATTCCTACTGTTTTGGGTAATATTATTATATATAGGATGTGCTGTTAGGATATTTACGGTAATATTATTATACATAGGATGTGCTGTTAGGATATTTACGGTCACCATTTGCGTTAGTTTGATGATGTCCCCGGAGTGAGTTCATGAAGAATTGTTATGCTAAACCCTGCAGGTGGATTAAGTTCCGGAATAATAAGAATGTGATGAACGAGCGCTAGCTTCGGTGAAATAATAATAAATTAATTAATTCTTGATTGTCAGTAATCAAATTAATTAATGGACATTATGTCTTAATCGAGGGGAGGTAAATCGAGTAATTATTATTGGAGTCTCAAATGTAATTTGGGCTAGGAAAAGAGAGTGCAATAATATAATATTGGTGGCCCATTAATATTATTTAATTAATTAGAGGAGTTGGTGGCCCACAGTTAGTCTAATTAATTAAGGAGCCCTTTTCCTAATCTCCTAAGGGTCCCTACTGTAGCTCTATATATACATCAATAAGCTCATGAGAAGAGAACAGAATTCCTATTCTAACGAGACACGCCCCACGCCTCTCTCTCTCTCTAGATCTCATTCGAGCTTTATCTTCTTCTTGTTGCTCCACTGGTACAAGTTGAAGAAGGGTGTATTGAGTAATACAGTAGAAGATCTGTAGATAAACTGAGACAAAATATATTTTGTACTACAGAACTAACCAGAGGTCCGATTGAGACGCACAGCATACCCAGACGACCGTCTCGATGAGAGCTTTCCTTCGCCGCCGTCTGACGCCGCACACACAGCCGGAAGCTCCCAGACTGCAAGTTTCGTTTTGATCTGTTTGCATCCGTTTGATCCGGTTTTTATCTGATCTTGTTCGTGCAACTCTAGACGTGATTTGCTGTCAATCATTTGCGATGAACCGTTCATGGTCAACCAGATCTACATAAACTTTAAGCCGTAAGTTTTCTACGTCAAAACTTTAGATCCGCTGCGTATAGGTTTACGTTTGCTATTGAACTCGTGACTTGTAC